GTTCGTTGGGAGTGGTTCAACGCCATTGCCAGGAGGGGAAGAATCTGCTACAGTGTGTTTTCGGACCCTCGGGCCTCCATATTTGCAGTTTGTTTTAGAGGGAGAGGGTGGGTGGGGAATCTGCTCAGAGGTTGGTCTTACAGTGTTTCTTGAAGTGATACTTCTTCAAATTTGACCAAGTTTATATAGAAAGGGGAGATTTACATTTTTCTACCTATCTGCATTGCTGATTACACGAATCTATTCAAAAAATTCAGTTTGTAAAAATTGAAGATCTATTAGTATTATTACATATTTGCAGCTCCGGGATGTTTTCTGCCAGCTCTACTATCAAGTTAAAGATAAACTGATCCCTTTTCCTTCTCTCTCCCCGAGAACGCTAGGCTTATGGAAAATAAGTTACATACGTGATCTACAGACTAGTATGCACAGTGATTTCAATCTGACCCCACCCTGATTTCAAACTAACCCCCCATAGATCAGATCCGTAAGTTCTTTGTAGATGTAGCATTACTCCTCCAGAGCCGGATAACTCTTTTTTTGCGCTTTCACTTTTGCTAGATGATGAAGATCTTGTGGTTAAGATGTAACAGTAACAGAGGTTTATTGAATTAAGTGGTTATATGTTTTTCTTTTTTGAGAATTTCTAATAATAGCTGAGAGCAACTATCCTTGCTTTTGGACTGCATGAAATTAAGTAACAAGTAACAAGCCAGTACACAAATCCCACTTGTTGACTTGCATGTCCTAGCATGGAATCCATGTTCCTGCTCGATTTTTGTTACTAGCCTACTCATAAGAATGTGGGCCATTTCTTTAGGTACTTGATTGTTCTGGACGACGTTTGGCGAGCAGCTGCATGGGATCAGATAAAGGTAGCTTTTCCTCATGGTAATAATAATAATAATGAGGGCAGCATAATAATTACTACACGCAGTAAAGAGGTAGCAAAAAATTGCTGCACCTTTTCTGATGACATATATGAAATGAAGCCCTTACCTGAAGAGGATTCACAGCAGCTATTCTTCAAGACGGTATTCATGTCAGAGGAATGTCCACCTGACCTGCTGAACATGTCCAAGGCCATATTGGCAAGGTGCAAGGGTCTGCCTCTAGCTATAGTGAGCATAGGACGAATGCTAGCTCGAAGGCAAAACAAGACATCAGCAGAATGGAAAACAGTATGTGATAGACTGGGTTCTGAACTGGAGACAAACCCCACTTTGGAGGGAATGAGACGGATACTTGCTCTCAGCTACAATGATCTGCCGTACCATCTGAAAGCATGTTTCTTATACCTGTGTGCTTTCCCTGAGGATTTTGAGATCAGAAGAGGCTCTCTTATTAGACGGTGGGCAGCCGAAGGCTTAATCATTGGAATGTATGACCGCAGTTTGGAAGAGATTGCTCAAATTTGTTTGGATGAGATTGTCAGTAGAAACATCATTATTCCTGGACAGATTGGCTGCAGTGGCAAGATTAAGAGTTGTAAAGTCCATGATATAATGCTAGAAGTTATCATCGCCAAATCTGTCAAGGAAAATTTCATCTCATTCCTAGGGAGCAGTCAATACAACACAACAGCAGGCCATGACAAGGTACGACGGCTCTCGATCCATCCTGGTGGCACCCAGGAGAAGAGAACTTTTTCCAGTAAGAACATAGTCCATACCCGTTCACTGACAATTCTGAACAGCACCGAGAAACCTGTACTCATCAAATTTTCTCGTTTGATACTTTTGAGGGTTTTAGATCTTGAAGGATGTGGATGGTTAAGGAATAAAGATCTCAAGGACATTTGCAAACTGTCTCTGCTGAGATACCTCAGCCTTAGAAATACAGCCATATCCCAACTACCAAATGCAGTAGGGAAACTTAAAGAATTGGTGACACTGGATGTGAGGGAAACTTCTGTCGTCGAATTTCCCAAAGGCATTACTTGGCTTCAGAATCTGAATCATCTGCTTGTAGGCGGTTATTCATATTACACAAGGACACGAAGTGTCAAGCATTTTTGGTGGAATGATGGAGCGAAGGTACCACGTGGATTAGGGAATATGTGTGCCCTCCAGAGAATCTCTCATGTAGACATCTCTACAGAAAAAAGCTCGAATGCAATGGGTGAGCTGGGAAAATTGCGTCAGTTAACCAGACTTTGTGTAGTCAACAGGAAGGAAGCAAAGCTTTGGAAACCCTTTGCTAAGTCTTTGGATGAGCTTAGCAACTCTCTTCGCTATCTAATGGTTGTGGACGCTTCAGAGAAAGTCGAGGAGCTGAAATTTTTAGCATACCTGAAGAATCCCCCTCTGTCTCTGCAGAGCCTGCATTTGGTGGGACGGCTAACTAGGCTGCCTGGCTGGGTTTCATCGCTCAGTAACTTGGCCAGTCTGTCGCTTCGACAGACTTACCAATTGGCCAAGGATTCTTTTGAGGTTCTAGCGAAGCTCCCCAGTCTTGTTTCTCTCAAGTTGTACGACAAGGGATATACGGGGAGGGCCTTATTTGAAGAGGGCTGGTTTCCCCAGCTGAAGCAATTGGTTGTGGATAATTTGGTTCAGCTCGAGGAGCTCAGCTTCCGTGGGGGTGCACCTAATCTTGAGAGGCTGACATTGTATTTCCCGTGTGTGCCTCGTGGAGGCGTTAATGGAATTGGAAAAGAAAAGCTGCGAAAGCTAAGAGAAGTTGAGTTCTTCGGCGTCGTTATAGAGTCTATATTTGAGCAGGTGTGTGAGGCGGCCAAAGAATATCCAAATCATCTGAAAGTCACCAGGGAGGATCGACCTACTACTACTACGGAAGCTGCACGAGCACCTGCCCGGCAAGTGGACTACAACACCGGCTCAGGTTTGCATTTGTTGCTTCTTTCTTCTTCCGGCCTTCTTCTGAACCCAAGCATTTTACTCATTCTGTGCCAATTATGCAGGGGCAGGGAGCAGTGAGCAGGAGTCAACCGATCAGGTGGATATGCCTGCACTAGGATGCGAAGATGATGAGGCAACGCCAGCTTGGCGCGTGCAGCCTTCAACGTGTCCTCACACTTACACATTGTAATGTGTATAACTGCATATGATTTGTACTTCCTGAACTTAGCTTGAACTATCGATTGTTGCGCCAGGTTTTTTGTCCCATAGGTTCGTGTTATTACAAGTGGTAGTACAACCAGTGGGTTTTCCTGGCGTGTGTCGAGCTCGAATGCCTATTTTGTTTTATTTTATATACATGCATTGTTTTGGTTGTGCTGGTGATGAAAACTGGTTGTTGCCTAGTTAAACAGAAAGGTGTCCTTCAGTCCAGTTATATGCAGGATTTTGGTGAATGAATCTAATAGCTTGTGTTTTGTCAAGCTAAAAGACCTGTTAAGCGCTGGGGCTGTTGCGAAAATAAGCAATTAGACAATTTGTTCTGGGGGAATCCCCACTGCTTTAGCACTGCCGCTTGTGCAATTTGACCTTGATTTGGCAGGAAGTTTCTTTAGAAGGAGTACATGCAAAGAAGCAGTGGGACTGCAGGAGACAGCAAGAAGGCAAGAGATGTGTTTTCAGGCACAAGACTATAATGATACCAGCTGGTATGAAGATCTGTCGTCGCGCTTTCGCGGTAAGGAGTGGCAAACCGTACATATATCCGGAGATGAGACACTCCGGATCAAACAGAAGAGAGTTTGTATTGTTGTGCGTGTATCACTTGTTACTTGAAAGGACGAAACCACTTCCATCTATGGCGCACAGGATTGCATTGCTCCTCCACTGTAGCCATCGGCCATCCACACCTACCTTTACTGCTTCGGTTCAGTTTGTTTTGGTCTTTTGAGCTGTCCAAATGAGCCAATGGCATACGTGGCATCTCATCAGTGCCCGCAAACGCAGAACACCAGCTTAATCACAGTAGTTTCCTGTATGCGTGGCATCTCCACCGTAGCTTTATTGAATACTCCCTCCGTTCCAAAATAGATGACCCAACTTTGTACTCACTTTATACTAAATTTAGTATAAAGTTGAGTCATCTATTTTGGAACGGAGAGAGTATTAATTAAATTCAGTTAAGAATTTTATACAAGTACAAAGGTGAGTCATCTATTTTGAAGCGGAGATAGTATTAATTAAATCCAGTTAAGATTTTTATACATGACACTAGTTGGTTGTGGAGCTAGCAGGTTGCTGATGTGTCTTCATGGACTGAAAATGTTCCACAAGTATCTGAAAATTGTTAATAAAGCATTCAGAAAATGTTAAATGTGTATAGAAAAAAAATGTTGAGCATGTGTTAAAAAAGTTAATATTGCATTTAGAAAAAATTTAGTCAAGCATTTAAAAAAAAGTTAAAATGTGCACAGAAAAAAATGTTAGTCTTGTATATGAAGAATGTTGATCAAGCATTTGAAATTGTTAAAAATGTGTATAGAAAAAATGTTGACTATTAAACGTGTAACAAAAAATTGTTGTTGACACATACAAAAATGTATAATGAAAACAAAAGAAATAAAGAAAACCAAAAAAGAAACAAAAGAAACTAAAAAATAAAAATAAAAAAATAAACCAAATAAACAAATGTAGAAGTAATAAAAAATAATGAAAGTAAAACAAAAAACTGGAGAAGAAAAAAGAAGAGAAACAAAAGTAGCATTGAAAACCGAAGAAACAAATGAAGAAAGAATGGAAAAAATACAAAACAATAGAGAAGAAAAAGAAAAAAGAAAGACAGACCCGAATAAAACGAAAGAAAATGGAGAAAAGAAAAGAAAACCAGTGAAAAACCCAATTCTTTTCCTTCTAATAGGTTTCGCCCAAGTAGTTAAACACGAAATGGTTGTCCCACTTGTATTAGTGCAACGAAGCAGCTTGGAGGTTCCAGGTTTGATCCCCATGAAGGAAATATGCCCTAGAGGTAATAATAAAGTTGTTATTTTATATTTTCTTATATCATGATAAATGTTTATTATTCATGCTAGAATTGTATTAACCAGAAATTTGATACATGTGTGAATACATAGACAAAACACCATGTCCCTAGTATGCCTCTACTAGACTAGCTCGTTGATCAAACATGGTTGAGTTTCCTAGCCATGGACATGAGTTGTCATTTGATGAACCGGATCACATCATTAGTGGAATGATGTGATGGATAAGACCCATCCGTTAGCTTAGCATAATGATCGTTCAATTTTATTGCTACTGCTTTCTTCGTGTCAAATATATATTTCTCCGACTATGAGATTATGCAACTCCCGGACACCAGAGGAATGCCTTGTGTGCTATCAAACGTCACAACGTAACTGGGTGATTACAAAGATGCTCTACAGGTATCTCTGAAGGTGTTTGTTGGGCTGGCATAGATCAAGATTAGGATTTGTCACTCCGAGTATCGGAGAGGCACTACTGCAAGATGCTGCTAACGCGACATTACGATCAGAGACCCTTCAAGAAACTGTATGCGATGCAATAATCGCAAACGATGGTGTAAGAGAACTGTCTAAAATGTGCAAAATATTTGTGATGACGGATGCATTAAACACGGTTCAGATTTTAGTTGCGTGTGCGATGAAGGGCATACGGTTGATCCAGTAGAACTGTTTGTGATGAGGAAGAACAACATAAACGGGCAGCCATATCAATGTGTGTGCGATATACGGCATACAGTTCCCTTCGATGAACTGTGTGCTATTAGGGAATGCAACAGAAACGGTCGGTCAGATCAAGGTGTGTGTGATATACGACATATGGTTCACTCGGACAAACTGTTTTCGATTAGTCAAAATAACAGAAACGGTTCATCTTAACAAAATGTGTGTCATATGTGTCATTTATGATCAGCCAAAAGAACATAAATGATTCGTGTAAACCAGATGTGTGTGATACGCAACAACAGCCCACTCGGATGAACTGTTTGCGATGAGAAATTATAACACAAACGCTTATTATAGTAAGTTCGTGTGCGATTCTGTTCGTATAAAAAACTTTGAAAAATGCAAACTAGTTGCTTGCGTATAAACAATTATCAAAAAGTAACGAGATAGACCTTCTTCAGCCAATCAACATGTGTTCAAAAAACAAGAAATGTCAAAAATTATAAAACAAAGACCTCGATAGACCTTGCTGCTGTAGATCCCTCTTTAAGCCTTTATTGTGCAACACAATGGAAACGGTTCAACTGGACAATATGTGTGTGATACGTGGCAAACAGGTCCGTGATCAGAAATGTGTGCAAAGACCAATAATAACACAGACAATTGCTGCTAATAAGCCATGTGATTTGCTCTGTCTACAGAAGAATAACACACACACACACACACACTTTCCGCTAATATATACAGACAGTCTATTCTGCTAATATTAGCAGAATAACTATTCTGCACACCACTTTCCGCACTGCACACTGAATGCAAGTGCACTGCATCTTCTTGACGACGAGCACTGTAATATAGACTAGTGAACTTCGCGTCGAAAAAACTGCACGCAGTGTTTTTCCGGTACTGTTTTCGCTCTAATTTTTTGATTGTTTATTGGAATGAGGCGTATAATATACCATTGAAAAGCTATGGATTAGGCGCAATTTCGCTATGTTGAACACTTTTCGAGATTCCTCGCGGTTTAAGAGCAGTTTCAAGAATGGCGTGGCGGATGACGAGTGGTAGCGAGTGTATTTTCGTGATTTTTTTTTTCTAAACCGCTCATTGGAATAAAACAAATGATACGCCGTTGGAAAGATATCGTCAAGGCACATCTTTTTCATATCTATTATGTTTTCTAATTCGTTACGGTTTAAGAGCAGTTTCAAATTAACTAAATCATGGAATTACGTTTTTCTAAATTTTTTGCAATTTTCGGTACTGTTTTCGCTCTAGTTTTTGAACTGTTTGTCGAAATGAGACGTGTAATACGTCGTTGGAAAGCTATCTACAAGGCGCAACTTTCATATGTAGAAATGGTTTTGAGATTCCTGACGGTTTTTAGTTAATTTTGAAAATCGTGCGGCTGACTAGAGAGGCAGCGGCCGTTTTTCGAGAAATTTTTACAAACCGCTGGTCGAAATGATTCAAATTGTACGCTGTTGGAAAAATATCGTCGAGACACAACTTTTTCATGTAGAACGCTCCCTCTAATTCCTTACGGTTTAAGAGCAATTTTAAAATTACGGAAGTGCGAACACTCTGTTTTTTTGCGACAACCAAATCAGCGAGTGTACGTCATCCGACAGAAAACCGCACTGCATCGGACGAAAACCGCACTGTATCAGACAGGCAAGTGAACTTCATGATTTCTTTTGTTGAACGTAAAATTTTCTCAGACGAGTTTTTGTTGCCTTTTTTTATTTCTTTTGTGGATGAGAGTGGACCGCAGAGAGGAGGCAAGTGAACCACGACATATATCGAAGTGAACCTCATTATTATTTTTGTTGTTGCGCTAAATTTTTAGCACTTTCATGTTGGGCACAAGTGAACAACATCACTCTAAAAAATGAACCACATCCGAGGACGAAACGCACTGCATGTGTTGATGTAGTCAACTAAATTTTGATACACATGAAACAAATTGCACTTTTTTTGAAGTAAAACGAAACAAATTGCACTTCATAGAGAGAGGTAATGAAACATCGTTCTTTTTACACAAACAGTACACACGAGACGCACCAAATTCAGCATAAAGACGCCTATTTTTCCTTCGTCACACGATGAGGTAGTGCACTGCAAGTCCATGTTTTCTAAACCGCATGAGGCGCCTCTCAACTCCATGATTGATGCTAGTGAACTTCTATGTGTTCTTTCCTTTTCCTTTTTCTGCAAAGTGGACTACAAAGGGTTTTATACCAAACTGCATCAACGAATAATTCTCTGTTATTCGGCAAACTGTAGTTTTGTATTCTTTTTACAAAATGAAGTTCAGAATTATTAAAATGAACTGTAGTTTCAATTCACATTTTTCTCTCAAACAATCAAAGCAAACTGCATTCACCCCAATACTCTACATGATCACACACACCACACTTCACAAACAAAAGAACAAAATTTACATGGGCTGCACACACGGACCCACCGTACTGCATGGACGCGTCGG